ATTAATTATTGGTATGCGTTGAATCAAATCAACAAATAGGTTATTCACACAGTAATGCATATCGCTGGACTTACACAAATGTCTGCTGTTTAAATGTACTCGAGGATAGTAAATAATAAATAATGTACAATTGATATTTTAAAATGACTGATGTATATTAACGAGTATATTAACATTAGCAATAATCCAACCACTATGTAGAGAAGAGAAGGTGAAAACACTCGACTTGATTGGGAGAAAAAATATGGATTATTAATTTTCGACGGTAATTTTTTAGTTTAAATAATATCCACAGGGGGCACCTCAAGCATCGAAGGCCGGTTGTTATTCAATATTTTAATAATTTAGCATTATAACCACTATGCAATAAAGCATTATTTTCATTAAATCGTAATTTATAAATAAATAAATATTTTATTTAAGATGAAAAATACCTGTGTGTGCCTTTACGTATATAATGGTATATGAAACATTTTATTCAACTGCCTATATATAAGTTGACAGTTGGAAATTATAACAATATTGCATTTAACAGTATACAACTCATTACAAAGGTAATAATTTCTATATTTTGCAAGAAACTCAAAACTATTTATATTATATACCTACTTTATTATATTTACTTCTAATTTAATACCTACTCAACTTATACATAAATTTTGTTTAGTCTATTGTAGTCTTATACCTTTGGTGCTCGAAATAATGTAAAAACTTTTCCTTCCCTAGCATATCCCGTCTTACAGCCTGGCACAAAACATTAAATAGTCCACCTGGGGGGGGGGGGAAGTTGGATAAGTGTAGACCTAAGCTAACTTAACGAATACCCTAACGGATGACCTAACCTATTGTTTGACATATTATAGTAGTGCCATATATCAGATGTATATCTTTTACTTACCGATTTTTTGGTGTCTTAGTATCATTCCATCAAATACCACCTCTCGGTGGAAGGATGCCCAATCAACAGATGATTGTCGAGCAATATCAATTTGGTTACGAATAAATTCGAGGGACACTTTTTCGGTCCATAAATATGCAAATGTCACAATTTGATAAATGGACAAGTGCGATTTTGAAAAAAAAGTGTTTTTTCTAATCGACTGGTAAAAATCGCACTTTACTTTTTTTTTTTGCTATTTGTATACGACTGTTTGCATCGCCAAACAAAACCGTCACAATACGCTGTACTAGGACATAATACTGAAAAGTGGCCTTTATTACATTTAATTATATTATTATTTGCAATAAGGCCCCAGGACTGTAAAATGCTTATAACCGGCAAGGACAGCGGGCCATTCGTTTTATGGTCAAACATTTCATAAATTGCAATAATGGATGTCATTTTCACTTAATAAAACAAAATACACAAAATACTCGTATACCGTACTAAGTAATCGGTCGTAATGACGATCACGTAGCTTATGCTATCGAACAAACTATAGTTAATATGATTATTTTATCTTTTCTTTTATCTTTTATCGTTTGTGTTTTCTGCTTTTAATGATGCTATTTTGGCAAAATTGTACCTACCTACCTATTTACCTATATTAGATTTTTGCGAAACGTCATAAATTAGGAAACCTTTAATGTCTCTAACTCTGAAACTAAGTGAGATAAACTATTTCTGACTTCACTAAAAACTTTTTCATCTGGAACTGTATGTAGTAAAAAAAAAAAATATTAAAAATATTAATTGTAAACAAGTTTTCAAAGAAATTTTGGATGAATTTTGAAAATGCTATTTTCCATTGTTTACGTACAGAAACTTCAAAAGTAAGTACACGAGGTAAGTTCTGATCACACCAATGTATTGTGCGTCAAAAACTACACATTTTGATAAAAAATAAAATTCGAAAAACTTAAATTTTAAGTATTTTTTTGAAAAAAAATCGCATTTCGAAAAAAATCTACTTTTTGAAGTTTTTTACCGATAACTTCAAAACTAAGTCCGTCCGACCTTTTTTTTTTTTACATTCTTATTAAGCACCCCAAGACACACATTTTGGAAAAAAAAAACCTTAAAAATCGATAGGTTGCTAAACTAGAATTATGCCAACATTTATTTGGTATTTTAAATTAATTTACCTGTTCAACTTTGTTTAGCTTTTGAAAAACTAAGAAAGTCTATTGTGTCTGTCAGTAGTAAAAAACTAATGATGTTTAAATGGGCAGTCAGAGTTCTTGCAATAATTCTAATAAATTTGGAACAATAGCAAAAATAGGCTCGCAAGCAGTAGTTCATAGCGCACACAGACCTTTTAAATTTCTAATAATATATATAAATTATATATTATTAGCTTAAACCAAGTGAATATAATTAAAATATTAATTTTAAGCGATATTATAACTTATTCAATTAATTTAACATAGTACGTTAATACGTTATAATATTTATTTGGATCCAACGTTTATTATCCAATATAATATATGATATAATTTATAATTATATTTAATATAATTGAAACGCCGAGTTGTTGCTTTTGTGGAAGGTGGCCAGTAGCCAAAGAAAAACACGAAGGCATAACTTTTCATAAGTTAACTACATACATTAAATAAATTGAAATTTGTATGTTATTGTTTAATAAATGATTTTATTAATTTATTATTGGTTTTACAAAATATATAATAACATATAATATAAAAAAAAAAAATAATAATAATAATTAAATAAATTTTTTTTTTAGCCTTCTTCACCAGCAGCTGTCCCGCTGCCGCCCGCCGCCGAACGCTCCGGCGCTGCCACTCGCCGTGGCCGCGTCTGCAATTGCCATTATGGATACTGAAATTTTATAAAATGAATTAATTTTACATTATAAAGGAAATACATATGTATTGCTGTGTGGAAACTTACAGCATTTTGGGCACTGAATGACCTTGTTCCCTTTGATGCGGCAAAGGTCACATTCTGAAAAAAAAATGTAGTTAAAAAACATAATTTTAGTTTACTTATATTTGACACTTACTTCCTGTGAACTTTTTTGTTGGTGGTACCGCGAGCACATCACCATCGCCGCCGCCTTCACCATGACCGCGGCCACCACCACCGCCATAAATCATTATGTTACCGTACATCTATAATACAAATAAATTAACATTGATGACACTATGACAGGCTATGTATTTATTAAAAACCTAATGCCAAGTTCCATGGAAAATGTATTAATTTATGGGCATTTTTTTAGGAACAAATGCACTTTACCACGCCCCTCACGAATTTCGATTTTTTTTTTTAAAAAAAAGACGTGTTTTTCAACGCTGATTTCGAAACTGTTTGAATTTTTGTGCGGAAACCATTATTTTGGAAGTTATAGCCTTCCAAAGTTTGCGATTTTACGTTTATACGCATGCGCTCAACACCACTATGCATTACCGCCGCGCGGAGCGTGTATAACCTATTTAAATTCTTTTTACGGGGACAATAATTTTAAAGTTGAAATTCAATTTTTTTATTTTATTGTATATTATACTTATACACAATGTTAAATATTTAATAAACAATATTATCATCAGTTTCTTCATCTGTTTCTTCATTATCATCTGTATCACTTGAGTTTTGCTCAACATTAATTGGGACATTTGCGTTGTACAAATGTCCAGCTAATTTGAAAAACTCTATTAAGGCGTCATTTTTATTTTTAGTTTGTTTTAAAAACATGTGTTTGGCGAGATATCCTCCTATAAAATCTTTCTTCCTATGATATTGAGGTAGTGAAAATTTGGCATGTCTCCAAAGGCCTTCAATTGTATTTGTATGCTGCTGAGTTTCGGGATCTTTAAAATTAATACTATGATTAACCTTAAAATGCACATATCCCTCGTCATTCAAACAGTCGTATGCCTAATATATTTAAGTATTAAAAAATATTAAATTTATTAAATTTTAAAAAATATTAAATTTTTTAAATTTTAAACAATTACCTTCCAACAGTCAGAAATGATCGTTGTCCCTGGTAAAATCCACTCTTTTATAATGTTGAGTAATGTCGTTTTGTCTCTTTTCTCCACTGGGACAAGAAAACATTTATTGGTCCCTCGCTCGACACCTCCAAATACCCACTGACCTTCAACTGCGTGCCCCCTATGGTATTTCCGCTTTCCAAATTTACTCTCGTCAATTTCCACTTCAACACCCACTCCACCGATTTTAACTTTATGAGCAACTAGTCCATCATACATAACTTCTCGACAGAAATTTGACCAATCAACAATAGTATGACGGCTAATTTCTAACTCACTCATAATGAATGACTGCGTGGTGTGTTGGAGGCACAAATAAGACAACGCAACTATCTTAAATATTGAAAGGTGTGACTTTTCGAAAAATGTATTTTTCCTCATCGATACCTGATAGTTACACTTAGTAGCTTTTTGATTCCTAACCGAACATTTCTCACGGCACCTGGGTTATAAAAGGATCGATTTAGAACGTACTTACTAGATAGCCAGATAGGTACTTACCTCCAAACAAAGCCATCAATAGAATCATTCCGTGACACTAGTTTTAAATTATGACCACGAGGGCATTTGTATTCTCCACTTTTTGGAATTAAATTCCACTCTTGAAGTAGAATAATAATATCCTCATTAATTTTCCCGGAGGTTTCGCAATTAAATATTTTAAAAATTTTTAAAAGATTTAAATTTGACATAATAACAGTAAACTGTTTAAATATATTAAAATAAGAATTTCTTAAAAATGACCTACTCGCTATTGCACTTTCGGGCAGACTGATTTTATCGTATTTATCGTACTAAGTACCTTATAATTATTTTAAAAATTAAATATTATATAATATAACTGCTATGCATTATAATTGGGATATTTAAAAAAACAAACAAAATTGCACATTTTAATTGGTCTTCGTTCTATTTTTATATCAATATCGCTATTTTATAACTATTTCATTATAACTAAATTGTATATTTACAAATATTGTTATATTCAATTATCTTGATGATAATTATATCAGGTAGATAAGCTAATGAGTATATTGTAGTACCTACTATACCTATATACCTATATACCTCCGCTCCGCAAATCGAAAATATCCCCCGACTTGCTGTGCAACACCTCCCCAAGTGGGTCACAGGGTTGAGAAAATTGCATTTTTGTTGCACCGAGCCACCAATTTGAAAAAACATCGTACAGTGATGCGGTGCTAGCGGCACTCGTCGCTACGCTCCTCGGCGCCGTCGCTCCGCTCCGCAAATCGAAAATATCCCCCAACATGCTGTGCAACACCTCCCCAAGTGGGTCACAGGGTTAAGAGTAAAAAGAATTTAAATAGGTTATACACGCTCCGCGCGGCAGTAATGCATAATGGTGTTGAGCGCATGCGTATAAACGTAAAATCACAAACTTTGTAAGGCTATAACTTCCAAAATAATGGTTTCCGCACAAAAATTCAAACAGTTTCGAAATCAGCGTTGAAAAACACGTCTTTTAAAAAAAAAAAATCGATATTCGTGAGGGGCGTGGTAAAGTGCATTTTAGCCTTTTTTTATAATGATGTATCTAGATTTGTCATAATAAAATTGTATTTATTTGAAATATTTTGTTAAATAACATTGTTTATTAATTATTATAATATATTTATTACAATTATTGTGTGTAGTCAGTTTGAGTTTATTTTGTGATGTTAACCGTTAAGTATCTATATTGACATTGTGACAAAACATAATTAATTCGATTAAATTTACTTAAAATGTAAATTAAAAAGCGAAACCATATTATTCAAAATAATAAGGACTTTATCTTAAAAAAATATGACATAGACAATAATTCCAAAAAAAATTCAATCAAATTTAATTATATTTTTTTCAGTTTTAAAAATAAAAAGCGGGTAAGTGGATGTCGCTCTGCTGTACAGTGACGCGTACCTCGCGAGTGTGGGACGGTGGTCCTGCTGGTGAGAGGTAGCGTCGGAGGTTTGATGAACAAACACGAAAAAAAAATGCAATTTATTTGTGTTGCTGATTAGTAACAAAAAAAAGAACAGTACAAAAAAATGGTTCGCTCACGGTAAAACAAAGGCGGACGTATGTTATAGTCGGCGAGTCGTGCAAACCAAAGTAAAATAAATAAGAAGTATGCTCGACTGATAACAGTGCGCATATTTTGTAAGGGGCATGGAGTAGGCAATAAAAATAAAGTCAAGTGACGTCACGCGTTTTGCACTATAGCAGTACAATATTATTACATAATATTATTTTACAAATTTCTGTATTTTTTTTTTCTTTTGTTGATTAATAGTATGCACTTTTTGGTTTTGTTTTTTATTTATTTCCCTAATTCTAAAGAATATTCTTGTTTGAATAATTGAATTCAGGACCTCATCAGGTATCATGTATGTTGATTGTCGACATGCATCTTTTGTCATTGTCCTTAATTCGGATATAAGTCCTGCTGTTTTTTTAATGTCATCTAAAAAATACAAATACTTTTATTAAGTGTCTTAGTCTTAAACGAAAATGTTATGATGGTATTACCTTTGCCATTTATTTTTTTAAATAAACCTTCAATAATTCTTCCTGTGCTTATTAATTTAGTTGATGGTTGAGTTAATGTACCAAATGACTTTGCTTTAATCCAGTCATTCAAATTATTGGTATTTGTATCAACTAAATCAGGATGTTTGTGTTGGAATTTGTTTGCTATATAACCTAACATATACGTAAGACTGTCATCTTCAAATTTTTCATCTGGTGAGTATTCATTTTGAGCAGCCACCTAGAAATTAATATATATTATGAGTATATGATAATCTATGGATTAGTAAGTATATGTTGTTGTTTTTAATTTTATTTCTTACATCTAGTTCATATTCATCTAATAATTGTATGAATGTCTCATTAATTTCATTATTTTCAGGCTCACAAATAATATCTGCCTCTTTCAATATGTCACTGACAAAAACAGTACTTGAATCAATGAGGCATTCTTCAGATTGACTTTCTTCTGTATTCCTATTCGATGTAAAAACAACACTACTATGTTTCCCCAAAATGTACCACCGTAGCCTGGAAATATGTTAAACAAGTAAAATAGCAAATTTTTTTTAACATTGCTTTTATACTTACTTGTATACTTACCATTTAAAACAGTAAATTAGGAATATTGCAATTGGTTTTGATTATTTACATACATTTTTTTATTATAAGATAACTATTAATTAATTTTACCTGTATCGAAAATTTAAAGGTGTTGTGTGTGTATTGGCTGCACCCATTCCTCGCAAAAAACTAAAACAATTTTCCAATACATCTTGATTAAGACGCCTGGTAATAATGTATTTTATGTTATACATTTCTTTCATGTCTGCAAATAAATTCCTTAAGGAGTTATTGCTCATAAGAATTCCTTTTTGAAATGGCATTAAAGTTTTCCTTGGAGATTTAGACTGATAAACACGCATAGTTAACATAAGTTTGTCCATTTTCTGTAATATGTCATCCTGATTGTCTTTGTCCAGCCCATATGCAAGACACTTAGTTGTTCTTGGTACTTGAGTATTGAATAAATCAAACCATTGGTCAATGATTTGAAATGTTTCAGATACCTAAAAACAAAAAAATGCAAATATAATTATAATCAAATATTTAGTATTATAGTAGTGAACTTACATTTTTCCAATTTGAATTTTTTATAGCTCCCTTTTGTCCTGCATATGCAACAGCTGTTGCTACAGTGTTTGAAAACAATTGTGATGCTAATTTCACTTTCTGTCTCATTGGTCCAGTACAATTTAAATGGTTGTGAGATAACTTATATGGTAATTTTAAATCCTGTGTGCTTATTTCCATTAATTCATTTAGTGTATTAATACCAATAAATGTTTCATTTTCATTGTCTTTCAGAATGAAACCATAGTCAAGGTAATTATTTCTGCATAATTTTATGAGATGTGGTATGTCAGCAAAAACATGTACCCTTTGACCTGTAATTGGATGTTTAAAGTTTGGTTGCTCATACGAAACTGAAATTGATTTTAATAATCCTTGGTTAGTTGGCCCCATGTCACTGACGACACCGACAACATTGAATCCAACCTCGTGTAATTTCTCAATTATGTCAAATAAGATTTCTGATGTCAATGGTGTATCATATTTATAAAAAATTGGCTGTTTCCATTTTGATATCAGTCCTCTGGCCATAACAACTTGAACTGATTTATGTGGCCCTATTACTTGTTCCTTCTTTTGGTCGAAATCAATCTGCTGAGATAGATACATTTCATCAAATGATAAAATAGTAAGTTTCTCTTCAGTGGTCATGTCTTTTCCTAATATATTTTTAAATAAAATACAATCAATTAATCAAAGCAATATTATGTATATTTAATCAATGGTAATACTATTAATATTTATTTTGTTGTTATTTAAAATCTTTATAAATGTATATATACATTTTTTTTTTACATTGTAGTCGTTAACACTTCAACAAACCTTTAGTCTTCATCAATTGCAGTACACTTGTTAAAACACCGGGTTCCATATTGAAGTTTGATGCATATCGTCTCAAAGTACTTAATCCTTTAATATTACATTTTAGTTAATACATTTTTATAATTGTATACATTATTTAGTTACATTTTTAAAATTGTACTGTTTATTAATTTTACTTATTTATGTTATAGAATACCTGGTAGTGGAAAATTCAACTTATCACGCAAATAACAATAAGCTTTCGGTGATACACTTCTCAATGTGATTGATGATGCTATATCTTCAGGTGACCATTGTTTAACTTTACCTTTTGGATTCATTATCATTTTTATTTGAGTTTCGCTAAAAATGTTTGATAATAACTTTGAAGCTTTTTCAGGAAAGTTATGTTCATAATCTCCAATTACAGATTTCAAATGTACATTTTCTTGCTCAACACTATTTAGTTTCAGCTGCAGTTGATGTAATTTATCATTCAAACTATGGATACATAAAAATTTAATTTGAAATGTATAATTAATTAATGATTATAATCATATATATGTATTATAAATTATTATAAACCTTTTTATCTCTACAGATTGGTTTACTTCATCTAAGTTTGAAATTCCATCAATATATGAAGACTGTTCTATCTAATACAACATATGAAACAAGATTTGAATTTTGTATCAAGGCAATTGAAAATGGTAATAATTTTTACGTTGTTATTAAATAGTTTCTTTCTGCTAGAAAAAAGTTCATTTGTGTCCACTCTCCAACCTACCTTTGATAGGTGAAATCATCATTGGACTTTTAGATGGTGTCATTTTCAATTTATGTTTCGGAGTAACTTTTAATGTATTATCCGGCCTATTCTTCGGAGTTATTTTTCTGGGACTTATTGCTTTAAACAAGGTTTTTTTAACACCATATTGAGACTATATAATGAAAAATAAAAATACTATTAGCTATAGAGCTACATTAATTATATACATTCATTTTAATTACAGGTAAACAGATTGATGGAACTGCATCACATTTTAGAACTCTGTAATGTTTTGGAGACCATCCAAGGAGTTTTTTTATTGGCGATTTTTCAATATAATTTGATGGTTCAAAATGTTTTGAACACACTCGTGCTATGTAAAGTTTCATAAAACATAAATTGTATTTTGTTATAATGTAATATGTCTGAATATTATAATATGTACCTGTACTTATATTTAAGTCTTTCATATAGCTTGGTCTTTCACATGCTTGAACCCATTTTTTTTTAAATATTTCATTTTTTGGAAATGAAAAATATCTAACTGAATCTATAACAGTTACATTTTATTTATGCTAAAATAAAATAAAAACAGGATATATTTTTTTTTTTTTTTTTTATTGAACTTAAGCCCGGCGACTAAGGCCATTAGCTGTTGTAGGGGTTATGAACTGTGGTAGGGGTAAGGTTGGTACGGTAGGTTGATTTTTACGGTTTTTACGGTAGCAAATACGTGTATGTGTGGCAAGGTTTTTAACTACTATGAACCCGGGTGGTCACCCATCCGGGAGCTAGTAGCTGTGGCCGTTACTTTCTCCCAGTCGCATTCCGCGACTGGTAGCAGCCAACGCGCCACGCCAAGCCACAGGATATATTTGGTTAATTCTGTTTTGGAGATAAAAAATGACTAAGTACTAATTAGTATTCATGTTTCTCATACCTAAATTTATTGTTATATAATTGTGCTAAAAAATAATAATTTACATTTCTATACATATGAATTTGAAACTGTGTTAGTTTAATATCAAACATTTAGATTTATACAAAAAATATAAGTCCTTAATTATAGTAGTATTTATAAACAGTTCAAATTTGTCTATAAAAGTGTAAAACAACAACACTAAGTAGCTATATTTAAAATTGGATTTTGCATATTTATTTTATCATGATATGAATGACCAAGAGGTGTATAGTATAAATTAATAAAAAATAGAAAACATTTTTTCAATTCAATTTAAATTTTGTTTGTACAAATAAAAACTTATTTGAAAAATTGTCGA